AGCAGTAGTATTGAGGTATTTCGAAGAGGAAATGAGGACTACGCCAAGAATACATGCTCTCGTGGCAGTACCTTACGTAAGGACAGAATTACAACTCAGGCTCGCCTGGTGCATGATGGGACTGACTAGCGAAGAATATGATTCGGGAGAAAGGAAGAGATCAAAGGAGGAAAAAGTTTTCCTTATGACGAATCTGAGGGATCTGATAGTCCAGGAGGGAGCAGCAGTAGCGTGTGCAAAGCGGAGAGACGCTCTCTGTTTCATTCGATTCCTGATAGAGCAGATTTCAGTACCTGCATTAAGCACTTGTGTTAAAATGTTGAAGGAAGGCGATGAGCGAACGAAAGCCATGTTCTTACTAGCAATGCTGGATATGCAGCAAAGTAAACCGATGAGGGTGAACATGAAAGAACCTGAAGAACTGGAACCCATGAAAAAGATAGACGAGATCAGGAGATTCTCAAACAAGGAGTTGAGGCTCACTAAAGAATCTATGGGAGCATTGCCAAAATCCAGTGAATACTGTGGACCGATCAAGAAGAAGTCCTATAGCTATGTGTCCGGGATTATAGGGATAGCATACAATCCTTTCCTGAGTGAAGACATACGTGATTGCTTCTTTGATTATGAGCAGGCGGTGTTACTAAGATTCTGGACGTCCAGAATTGTGACGACTAAGAGCGTTAACAATCCACAGGCCAAATTGGGATTGGTCTTGGAAGAAGAGGTGACTGCACCTTCAGTGCCAAAATCCGACAAGAGAGTGGAATTTGGGTTGGGGTTCTCAGATGAATTACTGAGAACGAGCTTGATGGCAGTGTGGGAATTGATGAAGCCATCGTGGTGTCCTAGTCCCAACGCTGACTCAATATTACGGGCGACACAGGACGTACAGAGGGAACTGAATGTGGACTGTAACCTGCGTGACCTCAACATCATATATAATGTGATGATAACAGCCTCTAAGAGCAACGGAGAAGATAGAGTGGAGTTGCCTGGCTGGGGACCAGAAGACTGGGTCAAACCTGGTAGCTGTCTGGCGGAAGTCTGTGGACTAGAGGGTCACGTTTGTGGAAGTCTAGACTGTGTGAAAACCCTGGAGAAACAACACAAGCAGTTGACGGTATTGTTTGGAAATGTAGTGATGAAAGCAAGAACGGAAACGGAACTGATAGCAGATTGCCATGGAGGAACCGATGTGAATCTAGTGACAGCACTAGGATTCTACAGCATGTTTGGTTCTTTAGAGTCACTATTGAATCTAGAACAGAAACATGAGATGGTCACAGCCATCAGCGTAGAGGTATTCCCAGGAGTTCTGCAGACTGAGCAGAAGTATATAGGAAAATGGAGGGAAGCAATCGAAACGGAGATGAACATCAGACACAGCGAAACTTATTGTAGACCATCAGGAGCACGATATTTGGTGGGTTCAACGTTGGCTCCAATGTGCAAGAGCAGATACCCTGTACATTTCGTGGCTGTGGACGTGAAGAGCACAAGAACGATCGTGGATCAAGCTTTTTCAGTGCCGAAGTGCGTGAGGTTGGCAAGGATGTCTGAAAAGTCTTACGAGTTACTGTGTAAGATTTTCTCAGCAGTTCCAGAAAGAACCAAAGAAGAGTTGGAGTCAATACTAGGAAAGAAATTCATGGGATATGTGAGCGGGAACTTCAGTGACTTTGAAAAACAGAAACAGAGAGGATCAACTGTCACAGATTACAATGCAGTAGATGAGAATGATGAAATCCACCGAGTGATGATGGAAGTGGAACCATTGCTGGAAGCTTCGGGAAAACGTAATTGGAGGAGCATCATGTTGACGCATGATGAGTTTCCTTGCCACTGCTTGCTGCAGACCTGGTGGTATCCCAAGCGTAGTAATCTGGTGTTGATCTGGGACTCTGGAGAGCTGCTCTCCATGGGTTTACCAGATTCATCACAGCCCATAACAATAGTGATAGTGGGAGTTATGATGGCGATACGATGGCTGGAAGCTCATGTGAGAGAAAATAATAGACAGGAAGCACCGACGAGAGAACAATTGCAGAAATTAGATTGTCTAAAAGATTTAGATCTTTTTGAGACAATGTGCAAAGTTCTAAACATTCCGATGGAAGTGAAGAAGATATGGGCAAGAAAACGATTGATGCCATGGTTCAGAGCTAACATGACTGCATGGTTGTACGAGTATGCGAAAAAGCATATGTCGAAACATGGCAGAGTGTACAGTGAATATCAGCTGGACATTGGGGCAGGAGCTTTCAAGCGAGCTTTCGTGACCCATCGGAATGCAGTGACCACCGCTGTGAAAAGAATTTCCAGGACGAGCGAGCGTAGTGGAAATGAGAAGGCAGAGATGCTGAAAGAAGATTTGGAGAGAAACGTGACGTTGTGTCTCCACAACAGCTTCTGTAGAAACAGAGAATCAAACGTGGATCCCCTACCTTGCTGTAAACAGAGGGTGGAAGAGCAGAAGTGTTGGAGGACGGCTTCCAACAGCGTCAGGATAGTCAATGACGTGCTACAAGACACGGAGACCGAGAGTGCAGAGTCAGCGTCACAGGAGGAGGAAATGGAGCATTGATGAATGGTCGAGAAAACAAGAGGCAACAAGAAAGAAAATTAGAAGAATTTAGAAGTTTTAGAACTTCTAAACGACGAAAAAAGAAGAGAACAAAGGGATGATGAAGAAAAGTTAAAACTCAAAATTGTTTTATGTGTGTGAAAAACTCAAATGAGAAACCAAGCAACCAAGTTGTAATTGAAAACTGAAACATTTAAGTTGAGTTTGGAAATTGTTGCATTTATAAATTTGCATTTTGGTTTTAGTTGAAGTGGCTTTAGAGACACTCACTTATTATTTATTTAGAAAGGCTTGAGGGAAGAGTATATTTAAATATTCCAGCCTGCATGATTGTTTTTAATCACTTAGGAAGACTGATCACTTTGTGGTGACATGAAAAACTTGAGTAACTTCTTGAGGAGGGAGGTTGTTGCATTGTTCTTTCTAACCACAAAGTTCCTTAGTTTTAATATTCAGGACAATAAACAAGCAAGATTTCCGAAGGGAAGGAGCATAGTAGGATAATTTTAGCTTGTTGGTTGGCAGGACTGTCCTGCAAGCCAACACCTTTTAAATCTAGGAGAAAAAGTTTCAATCGGGATATTGACACTGGAAGTCAGAAAATATGTTTTATCTTAAGTCATATCCTCAATGTGCAGATTAATGAAAGAATTTGAAGGCTATAGTGATGTAGGATGATGCCATTTATATTCTGCAGTGAGTCGATGTGACGTAGGTAAAAGTAATTTCGTGCATTTTGTAAATTCTGTTCGATGACACTGTAACCACTTAGAACATTGCGCGATTCAATGAGGACATTGACCGGACTGTCCGGGGAGTATGTGACATTCGACCAGAATGGCCAAAATGCAGTCTCTGCAGAATTCGGTATTTTAGCAGCAAGCCTTCCGAATTGGCGATTTAGAACGGATAAGGACGTTATTTGAACGATTAGCCAAACGGTGAAGGCTAGAAGATTCTGGAATTCTAATTTTTAAAAATTCGAATTATGACGTCATATTTCTGGGAAACGTCAGAAACGGCCATTTTTAGCTAAAAGAGCAAGAAAAAACAGAACAACTTTTATCTGCGATTACGAACAGTACGAAATCGAGACTAAAAAACTACAACGAACTACCGAACAGCAGAGGACGTTCCGAGTTGCAACTATTGTGCTGTTACAATAGTTGCAAGGCCGTTGCGAGCAACGGTGAAGGGTAAAACCCAGCCTTCCGAGTTATTGTGAACTGGATATTAAGAAGCTTGATTCACCGGATTCAAGAATCAGGAAGGGTCTCGGGACGTGGACTTTTATGAACTCATATTGAATTTTAGTATCCGTCATGTCCTGACTTGAATTTAATTAAGATCTTAATTCGTTTTGACAAGAATGAGGAGCTAGAAGTAGGGGGGAAAGGGTTGATCCATCTTCGATGGAGATGATGATTTTTATCTACTGAACAAAAACAATAGTAATATAATAAGTAGTAGCCCTGTTTTTAGGAGTGACCTCGTGGTCTGGGGATACTGAGACCCAGCCATGAGCTCACTATTTTTGCATGTAATCTAGTTAATTTGAGCGTTCTGGTCGAAGCCGGAGAACAGTAACGTTTTTGTCAGCCTGATGTAAGAAAGACCACCGAAAAGTACTGGCTTGGTAGAGACGGTGAAAAACATGCAAAGCTCTGTTTAGACGCTAGCCAGTCGTCTTAAGACTTAGTTTTGTTATCCGTCGATATGTATCTTCCGGGCGAATGTTACATTGACCGAAGCTGAAAGGCGTAACGTTTTTGTCGATCCGATGTTAGAAAGACCAACGAAAGTTCTGGCTTGGTAGAGACGGTGAAAAGCATGTAAAGCTCTGTTTAGACGTTGGCCAGTCGTCTTAGGACTTAGTTTTATTTTCCGTCGATATGTATCTTCCGGGCGAATGTTACACAGAGAATCTCCCTGGCAATACAGATTGCGAAGGCCGCTTGCGTACTCGGAACAATAAATGACAAAATAACTTTCGACGAAATTTTTTACTTGTAACACTTGTATATTATATTATCTCGTGTCGAGTTGCGTGTTCTTATTGAAGAAACGTAACCCGTATCGATTTTAATTGAAAAGGACTTAAACACTTGTCATCTTCTTTTATCATTATCACTTCCATATCTAGAAAATTCCAAGGATTTTGACTGGAATACATGATGAAGGGACTCATGACTGTAACCTCGGTTACTATGATACTTTTGACCTTCTGATTACCTTTAGAAAAAAAAATAAAAAAATTGATAATTGACAAAGCTTGAGCAAACAATTCAATTAATTGACAATCTTTTCAAGTAATTGACTTTTTGTCTACCAATTGACTTTTACCAACCCCTGCGGCTATTCTGCTTATCTATTTAGCCCCCTGAAATGTTCATCTAAATTTGATTTCAGAAGACAAATGGAAGACGAAATAGCTGTTGCACCGTCTGTTCCAACGTACGGAAAAGAACCGGCTCGCTTTCAATTAGACAATGAAATAGGCGAAACTTACATGATCGGATCTGATGTTGGACAGTATCTTCGCTTATTCCGAGGAGCGTTATACCGCAAATATCCTGGAATATGGCGACGTATGGTTACCTCTAATGAGCGCAAAATTCTAGCCGAAGCTGGCTTAATAGGATCAGGGGGAGCATTGAATATAACTCTCGTCAAAGCTTCAGAAGTAGACGAAATTTTGACAGGAAGTGGCGAAAAGTATAAGAATTCAGGTCCGGTGTCAACGCCATCTCTGGCTGAAACTCCAAGTAAACCAGAGGCAACTACAGTTACCAGCACTTCTACTCCGGCTGCTAGTGGTGGGCGAAGTAGCAAGAGAGGATTGAGTAGTGCTCATTCTTCATCCTATGGCCAAAATGTGCCTAATACTTCACATCACCTCGACGCCGTTCCCTGTTCGACACCTATTAACAGAAACCGAATCGGATCAAGAAGTAAGAGGAACTATCCTCTATGTATCGATGATACAGATGCCGATTCTTTTATAGAAAACAGCAAACGCGAGGAAGTTTTAGTTCCCATTCGATTAGATTTGGAAATTGAAGGACAGAAATTACGCGATTGTTTCACGTGGAACAAAAATGAGCAGTTACTTACACCGGAGATGTTTGCGGAAATCCTATGCGAAGATTTAGATCTAAACCCTCAAGCATTCATTCCAGCAATAGCGCAAAGTATGCGCCAGCAAATCGAAGCGTTTCCCACCGAACATATTTTAGAAAACCAAACGGATCAGAGGGTGAAAATTAAATTAAACATTCATGTTGGAAATATTTCTCTTGTAGACCATTTCGAATGGGATATGGCTGAGCCTTTGAACTCCCCAGAAGAATTCGCAATGAAACTTTGCTCTGAAATCGGACTTGGAGGCGAGTTCGCGACAGCAATAGCTTACAGTATCCGAGGTCAACTATCGTGGCACGCTAGGACCTATGCGTTTAGTGAAGATCCTTTACCAGTTGTAGAAGTAGTTCTTAGAAATAGACATGAAATTGATCAATGGGGACCAACTATGGAGACTTTGACTGATGCGGAAATGGAGAAGAAAATTAGAGATCAAGATAGAAATACTAGAAGAATGAGACGATTGGCGAATACTGGAGCTTCATGGTGATGTATTGTCTCGATAAAAGCCGATAAGTCTAAATCTTAGTTTCTTAAACGAACATCGATGATTTATGACTGATTGTTTGAGTTGTTACACTTGTTCATACACCAAGGAATCGATTAAAACTGCTGCTAAAAGTGCACTGGCTTTTTGCAAAATATGATGCATGCAAGAAATTTGTATATAAAATCTGCAAGTTGATGTATAAATTTTATCCTGAATCATACGCTAGGAGAAGGAACGAGATAAGTTGCCCGGGTTTTTGACCTCAACTATTGTCTAATGTGTGTGAAATTATAGCTGGTAGATTGTTGTTTTTGTTTTGTATTCGACTCCTAAGTTTAGTTGCATCAGTTGCGTTGTTTAAACTGTTTTATTTTACTTGTGCAATTTATGTCTCCTTGACCTTAATTTAATCTCAATTTCAAAATTTTCTGTCCGTTTTTTAATGTATATAAAAACAGGCAAAAATCTGTAGGGTTTTGAATTCTAAAAATGGAAGAAAATGTCTAAGCTTTGAAGGTAGTCCAAAAAAAGCAGCAGAAAGTTTCACAAGCAAGAAGCTGCTTAAAGCTCGTGGCCACCCCATATTTTTTTGAACAAATTGAAGCAACTCGAATTTAAATTCATGTGTTCGCTATAGTCAAAAGTAAGATCTAAAATTTTCATCTATATATATTTACCCTTGCGATAAGCAAGGGCTTTGCAATCGGGCACTAGACTTTTTTCCCGTAAATAACTTTATTCACAGAATGGTCAAAGATAGAAATGGTAAATATAGCTTCATTTCATATTGAAATCAGATATCTGCGTCTCTAGTACACTTGGCTTTTAAGCTAACGAATACGCCTGGGACTGCAATGTTCCTTGGTTTGAAAATAGCAGGACCTGTTTTTTTGTCAAACAGGAAATATTCCGTTGATAAAAAATTTCGACTTGAAATTTGTCTGCTTATGTTTTTTGGCTTAGTTGCCCTTTCGTATAATTTTTTTTTTGCTGTACGCCTTTCGCATTTTAATTGCTTTTAGTGTTTTGATTTACTTCTGCTGTTTGTAATTTATTGACTGCGTCTATTTTTCTTTTTGTTTTTTTTTTCGCTTAAAAACTTTAGTTTTACCAAATGATTTCAACTTATATTTTATCGGCTTATGGACCTGAGTTTGAATCGTTTCAAGGTAAACAGCTTTTATGCTCACTGTATTGCTCAAGTTGCTAAAATTTTCGTAGAAATAATGGCTCAAGTTTTTAATGAATGGCAACATTTTTCCGGCTTTATTATTTTCTCCGCTTGATTGGTTTCGTGCTCAAATTATATTGGCTTAATGGCCTCATTTTGCGTCTTTCGACGAGCGAAAAAATTGCGTATGTGTGTTTTTTGAGAGGGAAGGGAGACTTGTTACCTTTTTAAGTCTTAAATCTTGATGATTTTGTTTCGGCTTGAAGGGTAGGTGCTTGGGTAATTTCGGCTTTGCCAACGCTTGGTAAATTTTCTCACGATTCGTTTTTCACATTCTATTTTCCTGGCTTGCTTCGCCTCTGTGTATATATTGGTTTCTTATTTTGTACCAAAAGAATTTGGAATAACTTTTTGCTTAGCGTGGTTTTTTACTAACGAAAAATCAGCGTTTTTGTTCTTAGGGTGTATCTTCTTATTTCGAGAAGTCATGTTTTTTTGGTCGTATTTATAGTATTGTGCGCCAAAAAACGCCCAATTTTTTGGCCACAATTTTCCATCAAGTGCTTAAAAACGTCTGTTCTCAAAAGTTTGCCTGCTGACCAAAAAAATAAATTGGTAAAAACAGGGTTTTTGAGTGATTTGGGAGAGCTCGAAAATTCATTATCTTGGAAAATTAAAAAAAAGGTTGACTAAGTTTTCGAACAATTCCGCTGCTGAAGATGATGTACCAATTTGGTTTTTATTCTTTTATTCGACATTTTCGGATTTAAAGTCACTCTTCTGTGTTAAACAAACTGGAATGATGTGACTTGCCTAATGGCGGCAGATACCAAACAGGTTACGGCTACCCTAAAAGTTACGATTGATAATATTGGAACCTGATCTAAACTACATTTTATGATTGGATAATTTAGATATTTTACCAATGTAAAGTATTTAATATTAACCAATCATGATCCATCTAACTAACAACCCACTTATTTGTAAGTGCTGAAGTTACTTGTAATTTCAGCACCAGAGAGATTTGAATTTAACTTAGAAATTAGTTGGACTCTCCCGAGCACTTCAGCAACCGCAATAAACCAGTATACCCTAGATCTATTGAGCCTAGCAGAGACTAGTTAAACAACCTGAGACTAGATAGTATAAGAGTAAGATTAGGATCGGTATTAGACTAAGAAGTTGCACGAATCTATCCGGCCGAAAATAAGATAGCGTGACGAGCAGACGGTGTACCCTATCCGAAATTACTCTATGAGTTAACCAACTCGGTCCTAACTCATCTGGTGCGACCATAAGTCTCGAACAAGACCTTAATAGCTTAGAATTAACCAAAATAGATTAGAAATTAGACAAAAACATTTACAAAATGTTATACGACAATAATTTAATCGAAATGTCTCTACGACTCAATAGATCAGAGCCAATATTCCGAACCATAACAGAACTACCCGGAATTGGAAGAAGACCTCGAACCAGAGACGACATACGACAAAGTAGAAACTTGCCATATAGCTATATGATAGTTAGGCAAAAACCAGAACAAACTTTTATATTTAGAATACTACTGGCAATGAATTTAGATTTTCATTTGCAAACATAAAACCTTGAAGCTAATCTTCAAAATCATTTCAGGCGCTAAACAAAATTATTAATATACAATAACGATTGATAAAAAGATCTAAGATCGTTTTCCTAAAACTCTGCAGTAATATACAAAACATGTTTGAAAAATATTTATTGAAAAATAAAAAATAAAAATTAGTAGCATGACAATAAATGGTTAGTAATCATAAATCATCCTGTTGCTCCAGCTCCATCACCTAAAACATAACAGCAATCATAAACCCACTAATATCATCAAAACACTAAATCTTTCCTTTACACACATTTAAAATTTTATTAAAACTTAAATTCACTTAATTTTAAAACCAGATCATCAAGGCTTATCCTTGGATCTTAAATCATTTTCTACTTAATTAAATTTCAAATTTGATCATCAAGGCTTATCCTTGGATCAAACAGAACAACTTTGTTCTCCCCCACCCACTTAATTAGTGTCTAACGACCTCAAACGTCGATTCACTACCCAACCCTTTCTAAAGACCTAAGACTAATAGAAATTTTTAAACAAAACTAATCATTCAAATTAGGATAAACAGTGAAGAACTTCGGTTATTCATCCTTCACTTGACCCCCCCTCTTAACAGACCCAGGATAAATCTTAGACTTAGTAAGTTTAAAATAGTATCTAACGAACTACTCGCGTTCTAATTATACCTGAACCTTGTGGATCGATTTACTATTCTCCAACCCTTGAACACAATCACTACCCCTAAGTAAGATTAAGTAAGTTAACACCTTAACTTATACTAGCCACGAGAAAGTAAAAAATCATTCTTCGGAATCGATATACTTTTCTCTCCAACCCTGAACAAACAGACCCAGGTTAAGCTAACCAAAAAATCGTAAGAACTAACAGTTTAAGAAAATAGAAACCATTTAACAACCTTTTGCATCCGTCATCCTAAACCTTATGTCATTTAAAAACCTAGGAAATAAACAAACAATCGTTTTACACAATTGTGAAATAGAAAACAAAAAATACGACCTTGTAATCACACCTCATACACAAACAGTAGGATACATTCGAACAAAACGACAAACACTAAAAAGAAAAATAATAACGAAACAAAGACAAATAACACGAAAAAGATTTTCAAAAAATCGAAACGCATTTTCAGAATCAGAAACCAACAGTTTAGACGAACTTTACAAACTAAAAGAATCAATAGATAAAAATTGCCCACTTCACGATCAATTATATTTTTCTGACTCAGAAACAACTTCAAATTCATCAAAAAGAGGAAAAAGAAGAATAAAAAAGCAGTATAAACACAAACCAGTACATTTATACAATTGGAATCAACCAATTCGACACATTAATAATTACATATTAACAGTCATCGAACGAAAAAATGAGTTCAACGCACACCCCAGGTGACGAAACTCCAGATGATGATGAAATCTTTCCCTTTATAGTAGATGCAGATACTGATAGAGGACAACACATATTTTGTCAAAATTTACTCGTAAATTTATTTGAACCCGGAATCAGTCCATGTAAAACAGAGTTCCCAGATGTAAAAATCAAAAGACAAATCATAGACCACTACTTAAAAGATATATGCAACATAACACAACAGTATGGAATCTACTCCATAGAATTCACCTCACCAAACCATAATAATAGAAAATATACAATTCAAACAGACGATCTTGATTTAGAATTTTCAAAAGTTTTTTCAGAATATATAAAAAGCATCCAATATCAAAACTCACAAAGAGCAAACTCCATATTCACCAATGAAGTTTTCGCAATAATTTATAGTTATATTTCGATATTAGAAAACGAAATCCCAATAACAAATGTCTCACCGACAGAAACATCTAAACATTTGAAAGTACGACATGAAATCACACTACTCTCTAGTTATTTAAACATCATTAAAGAAAATTTCACGAAAGACGACGTTTCACAACATACAAAACACGATCTACAAAAAATTTTGGCATGGTTCATAATAGATTATTTCACACACAATATTGATTTAATTGCACAAGCAAGAAAAAATTTTAGACCCCAAAACTCGAACGATGATACCGCTATCACAGAACAATCAGATTATGTTTGGGACCCCGAATGGTCTCATCCCGCATTTATAAGCTTCCCACAATCAATCTCAAGTCAAGCAATAAGTACGATATCTTACATAAGAGATTATGTAAAAGTAATACCATTAACTATTGATGCAACACCATTAAACTATAATACATTTTTGCCCGATACACAAAATAATAGTTTAAACTCTACAGTTATACACAATGAAAACCTCAATGGAACTAGGAATCTTACTCAACAAGATATCCAGACACCATCACACTTCATAAATGAAGAAATTGTACACACAACAACTACACAACAAAGTATTTCACCAATACGCCCAAATTTAACAACACCAAGAAATACAAATCCTTCACAAACACAGGTAACCTTACAATCAACCGTTAAACCTTCGGTTGCTCCTAAATATTCACATATGGATTACCAAACATACAGACCCATGACAATACCATCAAAAACACGCAAAACATTCACTAGAAACAACTTTGCAGACCATAATTATAATTATACACATCCATCAAAAACATATAATCAACCACAAAGAAATTTTAACCAATATACAAGATC